ATTTAATCTGAACAGATGAAAGCCCCACTAGTTGTCACACTGATGTATATTACAGTTGTTCTTCGTATTTGACTCATCCCCTGGGGGAGCAGTGAGCTGCAGACATGGCCGTGCTCAGAAACTATTTGGTGGTTTAACCCCCCTAATCGAACCTCTTAATGGTGCTGAGGGTGAAGCGGGGAGGAATTGGTCTGACTGACTGTGGATTTGAACCCACGGTCTCCGAGTCTCGGGGCAGACACTCGTACCACCAGACCACTGAGCTGGTCACGATGGATTTTTACCACCTTAAAAAAACTCCAAACAATGATTTCATTGCAGTTCATACAAAGAATATGGTGCACATGTTTATGCTTCCATTGAAGTTATTCTGGAAGGAAGGCCACGGATTCTGACCAGAAGGCTCACTAAGTTGGACTTGAACCTGCTTCTGCTACTTTCAATAATCTAAATGTGTATAAACTGAGATTAGAGGTTTTAAGACGGCGCCGATCCTGTTAAACTGTTTCTCTATGAACGTTGTCCTAAGAGCTGTACAACAGTTTATATTTTAACTGTTGTTGATATTTATGGAAAACCCCGCTTTACATATTGAAGATAATTCTTCCAGAAAACTCTGAAAAAGGAAACGAGTCAGGCTATCTTTTGTTAGCATCTAATATTGGTTTCAGCTTCCATGTTTCTTTCCAACCTGAGCTCCAGATTGTGAACTGCTGTAGCATTTTTTTTACATGTACCAGTTATAGGATCGTCACATTTTAGTCTGTGTAAATATTGTGCTTACACACCACATTTTATACATACTACCACTGAAAAATCACACCATGAATGCTTGAGGGCCGTGTCTGACTTTCACTTATCAGCTGATCACTTCCTTTAGTATGTTTCTGCTCAAATTTCTCCCAGTTGAAGGTATGACCTCATAAACTTTTTCATGTCTTTAATTTGCCAAAACTTTCAAATTTCAAATATTAATTATCTAAGGGCTCAATAAAACATATTTACTTTATGGCACTTTGGCACCTCTGTGCTCCAGGCAGTGTCTCGCTGTGCGGATGCGATACACCACTGTCTCTGTAGTGTGCAGGCTCATTGTCTACCGCTGTGTGTGTGTGTGTGTGTGTGTGTGTGTGTGTGTGTGTGTGTGTGTGTGTGTGCGCTTGTTTGCTTTTGGCTTAATCAGCACTGCTGAGTCCAGGAATTCCAGTTCATCGGAGGGAGAAAGCAGGAGAGTCGGCAAGATATGAGCAAGCAAGAGAGAAGATGGAGGTTCAGCAGATAGCGACGTGTTTTAAGAGAGAGCCGAGGACGAGCTAAAATCGGGGAAAAGGAAGAAGCTGTCATTTATTTAACGTCGAGTGAAACAAAGAAAATAAAGTTATGAGTTAGCGCATTTCTCTGTAACTGGTCAACTTATCAGATTTATAAAGTTCTTAAAACTCTTTGATTAACAAAGTTTTCCTCAGTAGAGCAACTATTCCCTCAAGTATTCATAATCTTTAGCTATTCACACGCACACACACACACACACACGCGCGCACGCACACACACGCACACACGCATGCACGCACGCACGACACACACACACACGCACGCACAACACACACGCACACGCACGACACACACACACACACACACACACACACACACACACACACACACACACACACACACACACACACACACACACACACACACACACGCACGACACACACACACACACAGACACACACACACACACAGACACACACACACACACACACAGACACACTCACACACACACACACACACACGCACGACACACACACACACACACACACACACACACACACACACACACACACACACACACACACACACACACACACACACACACGCACGACACACACACACACACGCACGACACACACACACACACACGCACGACACACACACACACGCACGACACACACACACACACACGCACGACACACACACACACGCACGACACACACGCGCACACACACACACACGCACGACACACACGCGCACACACACACACACGCACGACACACACGCGCACACACACACACACGCACGACACACACGCGCACACACACACACACGCACGACACACACACGCACGACACACACACACACACACACACACACACACACACACACACACACACGCACGACACACACGCGCACACACACACACACGCACGACACACACACGCGCACACACACACACACGCACGACACACACACGCACGACACACACACACACACACAGACACAGACACACACAGACACACTCACACACACACACATGCACGACACACACACACGCTGGTGGGGATGAGCAACGATGTAGCCACTGACGAAGGCTGCCAAGCACAGGCGACCACCACCAGCAGGAAAGAAGGGTTAAGTGTCTTGCCCAAGGACACAACAGCAGAATTCTCTGTCCGGAGCCAGGATCTAACCTGCAACCTTCCGTTGACTTATTTTGTTTTTTCATCTGCCAAGTGCAGGGTTGAAAAAATCATGGATATGAGTATTTTTGTCTCAACAACAAAACCGTTCAGTAGAAACTGAACCAAAGCTGGAGCACTCGGGTCAAAGTAAAAATATTTTATCGGTGCAAATAAATGAACTCGTCTCAATAATGGTGTCTTCATCACTCTGACGAAGAACCCACTGCTAGTACTTCATAGTTGTTGGCCCTAGCTGTTGAGCACTCTCTTGTCAGGATGTGCTTTTTCCATTTCTGCGATGAGACCAGAGGCCAGTGAGGCCAAGTAACTCTCGTTTAGCAGAAAGCTGTGAGGCTTTGCTCGGGTAGAAAAGCTTCTAACGCTGTGAAAGCTGGAGGCTTTGAGGCGTCCTCTGCAGCACGCTGCCTGTAGACCCCGAGGGAACGATCAGTTCAAGGCCTTCTGGCAGAGGCCACGGCCAGAGCTGAGAGCGCGTCTCGGCTTGCCTCCAGCTAAATGGAAACATAGCAGCAGACACCTTTTTCTTGGAAGGTGGTTGAAGTTTGACAAAATAGAATCTTCTTCAGATGGATGGTTCAAAGACAAAGCCTCTGTTAGCGGTGTGGTTCTGGGAGCAGATAGACTCGGTATTGACCCATTGCTTTGGTCTAGACCAAAGTATCTCAGGAATTCTCAGAACTTGGTGTTCCCAAAAAATTAACTCTCATTCTTGTGTTGACAATTATTGCACGAATCATAAGGCTGAATTTGTGCAATTTGCCAAGCAGGACCATAACTTTACTTTAGTGTAAAGATGAATAGATTAAAACTTGGGATCTTGTAGGCGTGGCGCTGGGATTTCAGCCGTGGCGGGCCGCCACGGCTACGCCTATGTAAGGGAAACACTGGATTTCTGATATCTGACTTTACGACGTGCACTTGTCTGGCTTTTCCAGTCCCAGTTTCCCCGTCTATTTCCTATCGGGGGCAGGAAATAGGGGGTAGAGGAATAGTTCCCCACTCGGCCTGCATGCTAAACTCAGTCATTGATCATATTTCAAAAATAACAAGTAAAAAACATTTTCTCAGTGAACTTGGTCTTTAGTTCCAGTTTAAAGTGGAAGTTATTTTTTGAATTTGGTCGGTCGCTCCGAGTTTATCATGCAGGCTTAACGTGAAGATAAAAGACGGAGGAAATGGCATCCTGGTCAGAGAAAGCGACATAGGTCTACGTCACACTGTAAATTAGCATTCATGGACTCAGATAGCTTGGTTCGTGACGGGGAAGGTTGTTGGCTTTGGCGGCCGGATAATGGCATAGAATGTCTGGTTAGCTAGTAAAAGCTAACCGCTAGCATTAGCAACTCCACAACATAGCAGAACTCCTTCAGACTTGTGATATTTGTGGAGATAAAACATCATTGTTGCAGAGCGAAAGGGGGCAATAATGAATTGATAGATGGGATACAAAACCTGTTAAAATCAGTGTGTTTATGCTGTTGGTGTTTCCATATTATCATGCTAATAAGACCCTCACATTCCCGCTGTCAAACACACCAGCTATAGAGGTTGACCCCTTTCCTCCCAGTGGGAAGCTATGGGTTCAGTGGTTTGCTCCAATCACACGGCTGACCCTGTGAGAACAAGAAGCCGATTGGATGGCTTGTTTGAGTCCGTCCGCTCACGGTAGAGCCTCGGGTTCTCAGTTTCTTACATGTTGATAAATTGTTGTTGTTGTTGGCCTCCAAAGTCAGCCGCAGAGCGACCTTGTTTCCAGTCGTACCCGGTTACTGAGGATTCACTGATCACTGGTGAGACTGCAGTAAGCGGGTCTTCTGGGCCTACTGGAAAGGCTTTTCCCACACTTGGAAATGGGAAGACTTTTTGACCAGCTTTTATTGTCTCTCCCACCCTCACCAGGCTCCCTCGGCTGCCCTTTGTTGCTCTTACTTTCTTCTGTCCAATCACGTGCTCTGTGTTTTCCTCGTTCGACAGACCAATAAACTCAGGCTCTCTGTTATGATATCTTTATCTTTTGTGCATACATCGAAGATGTGGATGTAAGCACTGCCTTTTATCATGCCCTCAATGCCGCCACTCGGTTGATTTGGGGGCTTTATTTGACAATGGTGATTTGTTGCTGTGCAGTTGAAAGCATGATGAGTGCACTTTGGTACAATAACCAGAACCAGGCTTCCTCTCATTGGGTCTATTTGCTTCCTGTCTCTCTGGTTGTTATTTCTCTCTGATCTCCACCCAAAAACACACCCTATCCTCTTCCCTCTGTTGACCTTTTCTTGAAGAAATCTTTTAAACTCAGGTTCTAGTACATTTCATAACTAAATGTGTGTACATTTCTTGTGCTTCCAGTATTTTAACTCTTCCTTGTTACATAAACACAAGCGGCGACTTTCGGACATTAGTCCCTAGTAAAATGTTTTCACTAGAAAGGCATTAGTGGATAGAGAGCTGGCTCAGTGCTAGGTTTGGTGTTTTTGTGATTAAAGGGAATGTCAGAATGACCCATGTGTTCTGTTTCAGATGATAAGCCGGTCCAGGAGGAGGACTGGGTTGTGTGCCAGCACCCTGAGTGTCCAGACCGCCGGAGGGCTTCTAAGGTAAAACTTTAATCATCTAAAACTACATTTTTTGGATTGTATTATGCTTATGGGGTGAATAGAAATGTTATATCATGCTCACATTTCTGTCTGTGGACATTAGTGCTACAGCCATTAGCTGGTTCTCTTTGGTCTGCAGGCATTGCTAACTGATCGGTACCAGTGGCAGCCCATGTGTTTGGTACCCGGGCCTTCAGTGCGGGTTTACCGCCTTTATCCACCATTCTGATATTAGAAGCCACCAATATTCTACAAAAATGCTATATGATTTTACAGAAGTCCTGTCCGGACTGCATGGTTCTGGACCTCACTAACTGTGCTGTATGCCAACAAACACGGAGAGAAGGCTGCTTTTTCAGGAGGTTTCCTTCTGATTTTTACAGCTAGTCCTCATTACACATCAGCAGGAGGTTTATGGAACATGCAGAGGGAGGGAGGGTGGTGAGGGAGCGAGCAACGAGATGCTGCTTAATTTCACATCATGCATTGTTGTTTTCTTCATGAAGCTAATTAATTATGAGGGCCGTTTTGCATATTGAGAAGGAACACCATTGTTATTAAAACAAGAAACCCTGTTAAGACAACTTCTTCTTCTTCTATTTTTCTTTTTCTTCTTTTTCTTTTTCTTCTTCTCTAGTCGCAATTGCACGACATATACCAGCAGTTCAAAATCCATGTTTTCCATTTTTATTCATGAATGTGTTTAAATAAACTACTAGAGGTGTGTATTGGTGAAATTCTGCCGATAATCGCAATAAAAGGGAGGCGATACGATATATCGCGATTCATTCAACCAGATGTTAGCGATTTTTTTTAAAGACGGAATTTATTGCAGGAGAATTCAATAAACAGTCCAAACTGATACGTAACGTGTTTCACCTGAGATATCTGAACCGTATTAGAGGGATTTCCATTTCAATGGTGGAAATAAAACCCACTGCACACTGCTGCCTTCTAGTGGTCGGCGTTTGAATTGCACCAACAGAAAAGAAAACACGCAAATTTTTGCATGTAAGTTCTTCCAAAAATTTGATGCACAGCTTTTGAATATCAATATAATATTGCAAGAAAAAAAATCATGATATATTGCCATAGCGATATTTCCTTATATCCCTATAAAATACATAATGTTCAGAACATTGAGCTGCTTGTTCCTTATGTCCCTGGGCGAGCACTGAGGTCCACTAATCTCTTATTGCTCTCTACATCTTGGATGAGATTTGAAGCACGGGGGGAGCAGGCATTTATGTGGGCTGCCCCTACTCTGGGGTGGTGGTTGGAGGGGCGGGTGGCGCCAGTGCCCTGTAGTCTCGCCTCTGTCAGTGCACCCCAGGGCAGCTGTGGCTACATCGTAGGTCATCCCCACCAGGGTGTGAATGTGTGTGTGAATGGGTGAATAACTGTGTTGTAAAGCGCCTTGAGGGGTACCAGGACTCTAGAAGGCGCTATATCAAATACAGGCCATTTACCATTTAACAGTGTCGAGGTTTTCTGGAAAAGTGACAAAAAATGGGATTTTAATATTTCCTGACACCATATCCATTTTTCCTTCCCAGTCTTCCATTGTGCGCATAAAATAAAATACTCTACATTTCAAAAGACGCTCTAGCAAAACTGTGTGGTAATAGCTTTTCTCTGACCATAGAACCCTTGATGTCACTGAGCTAGCTAAGGAGGCAAACCTGAAAGCTGATAGGTTAAAAAACAGTTGCCTTGCAATATACAACTAACAAAGGACCTCTACCAATTCTGATGGCCTTGGGCAGAGTAAACTCCCCGTGGTAACACATAAAGACCGAATGGCATTGGACAAAACATAGAAAATCCCCTGACACATTTGGGACATGGCACAGCAAGAGAAACATTCCTAAAAGTAGGAAAGCAATTGGAAGTACATTAATACAGTTTCATTGAACTAACATTATGATCTAGGTTGTATGCATGTTTGGGATTCTTAGAATGTTCAGCTTAGCAGAGAGGGCCTTGCTAGCGCTGATGGCACGCCACTGCTCCATACAGTTAGTGGAACGCGGCCAGCCTACCAGACGTTTAACACTGTTAACCATAAGAAAGTGCTGCTCCTAGACATATTGTATGTGCTTTACTCTAGAGGAGTTTATTGAAAATGTTAAATCATGTTAGCCATCTTTTAGTTTCATGCTAAGCTAACTGACAATTGCTGCTTATCACTGTTTTAGTTGTGTTGCATTTCCTTGAAGGAAATCAGAATACTGAGGACGTTTTCCCTCTTATCTAAGAGGCTTCCTCAACCGTCCTTTCCACTCCTTGGAAAGGCCGCAAAAACTTACTACGTGGCATTTAGCCCCCATTATAGTGGGGCACCGGCAGCAAAGTGAGGCATTTTGGATACGCCCCAGAAGCGTTAAGCAATAAGTTTCAAGTGTATTTTCTACCCGCTACGCTTGCAAAACACGTCAAGCTCCGCAGTTTAGATTGCACCAAACAGGAAGTCGAACACAAAGCAGGGTAAAACACATCCGGAAACATTCACAAATAAATTAATATGCAAGTAAACGTATGTCATTTCCTGTTATAACTATGGCGTCAGACCCGTGCCACAACCCGTGCACGCAGAGAGGCTGCCGCGCGCGCATGTTTTCCTCTGCCGTGTGCTCGTTGGCAACTCGCGCACGCAGGTTTGTCACGTGCACATCCTTGTGCACTCAGACACAGTTTGCTCCCTCTCAGTGCACAAATGACCTCTCGCCATGTATATTTTCACTCGCGAGTCCCGTTCACACACGCGATGTGGACCCAATCCGCGTGCACGGGTTGTGGCACGGGTCTGACGCCATATATAACCCCCCAGAGCCAATGCAAATGGAAAAAAAAAACCACTGACCATATTTGATTAATGCAGCTGTCTTTCTGCTTGCATATTATTGTATATGGACTTCTGAAATCAAGCATGGTGAAAACGACTAGTTTAATAGTCGAATAACCACCGGTTTTGTTGGCTAATCATGTCCTGCATAGCTTATTGCACCAGGATGCTCTAATATACCCATCATTAACTTCTAGTTTGAATTGTGATCAGTTATGTGCCATCAAATATAAAAAAGCTCATAGAATAAACAGTGTTGTTTATAGTCGACAGTTTTGTTTGTCGATGTCGTGACAAATTGACTATCGTGGCAGCAGTGGTTTCCATACATGTTAGAAACTCACTCACGGCTACTCGAGCTGTATCAAAACCAGTCCCTGCCCAAAAAGTCTTCAGTAATCAATTTGGCACACATAAGCAGGGTGGTTAGGTCATAAGTGTTCTGGGTCTTTAAGATGTCCAAATTCACCAGAACTAACAGAGAATCGACTTGCTGTTTAATCCTAAACCCCATAAATCTTTAAGTTAAATGTTTAAATGTTTTGTTTTTGAAGACAATTACTAGGCATTGGTATCACTGATCTAATTGAGTGTAGCCAGGTGATATTTAGTCTAGTTTTGATTCTGCAGCAGTGCTAGAGGTGAGTCAGAGTGCTTTAGCTGCTCTTGTGCTTTCAGGTGTTAAAGGGGCGTGGTCTTGGAGCTGTGTGTCTGGCCACCAGACTGTGAAATGAATTATTCCTTTGAAGCCACTGGTTTCCAAAAATGGGAGTGTGGCCAGAAGACCAGGGGAAACCGCCGTAGTGTCTGGTTTGTCGGTCAGGCCGGGTTGTTTTGTCTGGTCTGCGCTGTCTGAGTCTCCCTCCTGCCATTAGAGCTGGGTATTAGGCAGATTTTCTCATTTAGTCGAGATGTTGGCTCCTGCTGGCCTCTTGGTGGAAACAATTGAAAGAGAAGATGACAGAAAATTTAGACAGCCTGTTGAGAGTGAGGGGGGGGGGGGGGGGGGGGAATATATATAGTTCCTCTCCATGGAAACTGGGAATAATAAAGCAAGGAGAAGAAAGATCCAAAGTGCACAATCCGAACTTCCTCCTTTCCTCACAATATTGAGACACCAAAATCCACCTCTCTTCCTGAAAGACAGAATCACATGAGACGGTCTGGCTGCTGTAGCGTGACTTGGTCTGTCCTGTTTTTAGGATCTGTGAGTGAAGCCTTGATCTGGGACGGTGGATGCTATGTAAGGAGATCAGGGGCCAGGATGGACAGCAGATATATGATCAACAGCTTGTTTTAGTGTAAATGGTCCATCTCAGCTAGCAAAGAAGGCTCATTAACTGCAGTAGCATCTAAGGACTAGTGGGATCCTTAAAGAGCAAGTCACCCCCTACCAGAGTCCAACTCCACTCCCACTTCATGTTTGAAAAATGCAACACATGCTGTTGCCTGGCAGACCGAGAGGGCGGAGCTGCTAACAAACACACACACACAGGCTCACGACATCATTGTGACATCATAATGTACCAGTTTACATCATAGCATACTTCTTAGCCAATAGTGGTGGCAGATTTAAATTAAAATACAGTGCAGAGTTTTTAACCTGACAACGGCACAACACTGCCAGTTTTAGGCAGAATATTTAAATTTTAACTAAGATGCACTGAAGTGCCAAATTATTGACGACACGTGTCTGCAGCACGATTAGACACTCGTTTATTTAGTTTATCAGCAAAAAAAATTTATTTGGGGGTGACTTGCTCTTTAATGGATGCAGTAAACCCTGATCAGTCATTTTCAGGACATTAAGCTGTAAAAATGGCAGAATTCTATGCAAATAACAATAGTGTACTTGTTAGACACATTTAGCAGGAACTGTGACATTTTTATGGTACTTTCAGTGAATCCAGTTGGGATCTGGCTCACTGTGACTTTAGTGTTTGGTATTCTCCACAGAGAATCCTAAGATCAGTTAAATAATGGTCAGAATTAGAGGTCGACCTATATTGTTTTTTCTATTACCGATGCCGATATGAAGTAGCCTGGCCTGCCAGACTCCTCCTCTGTTTAACTCTGCACAGAGGAAGGCTCTGGGAACTCTCCTATTCAAATAACCCCGCCCCCTGTGAATTCTAACCGAGCCAACCAGCGCTGT